CATACTGGACAAGGCCCACAGTTTGATAATCCTGAGCTTGGGCGACAAAGTTCTGAGGGAGGTGTCAAGGGAGACAACGGCTCAAGCACTTTGGGCCACCCTCGAGGTACTCTACCTGACAAAGTCTCTAGCTAATAGGCTCTTTCTGAAGCAGCGCCTATACTCCTTCAAAATGCAAGAAGATAAATCCGTCTCAAATCAGATCGGCGAGTTCAACAAGATCATCGACGACCTCGACAACATCTACGTCAAGATGGACGATGAGGACAAGGCACTGTTGTTGCTAAACTCTATTCCTAAGAGCTGCGAGCATTTCAAGTATGAGATGCTCTATGGAAGGGTGCAACCTATTACTCTGGAGGAGGTTCAATCTCTGATTAGAGCAAAAGAACTTCAGAGGAAGCATGACAAGGACAAGGAAGTCAGCGAAGACAGTCTTATTGTCAGAGGAAGATCGCCCAGGAAAGATTCAAGAAATGGTCAGTACAAATCAAGGTCAAGCAAGGATGGCGGGAATCAGTCATCAAGGGGATCTTTCAAGTGCTATCATTGTCACAAGGACGGTCATTTCAAGAGGAATTGCCCGGACAGGAAGAATAAGTACCAAGAAGAGTCAGAAGAATCAGGAGAAGCAAGCGTAGCCTCTGATGACTAAGATTTTGCTGAGGCCCTGGTGATCACAGAATCTGAGTCCAGTAAATAGCGGATCCTCAACTCAGGGTGTTCTTTCCACATGTGTCCTCACAAAGACTGGTTCGAGACACTGCAATAGGAAAATGATGTGTCTGTTATGCTGGGAGACAATAAAGCTAACAGGGTTGTTGGAAGTGGATCAATCAGGATAATGATGTTTGATGGAGTTGAACGAGTACTGAAAAATATCAAGTACGTACCAGAGCTCAAAAGAAATCAGATTTTTTTAGGTACGCTGGAGTCAAGCGGATGCTCGTTCAAGGCAGATAATGGATGCATCAGAGTAACTAAAGGTCCTCGTGTCGTCATACAATGAGTCAGGAAAAATGGGGAGGAAGGCGGTGATATGTTGTATAGCCGACATGACCGAGAAGGAGAATATCGGCATACTGAACAAAGCCCACAGTTTGATAATCCTGAGCTTGGGCGACAAATTTCTGAGGGAGGTGTCGAGGGAGACAACGACTCAAGCACTTTGGGCCAAACTCGAGGTGACAAAGTCTCCAAAGTCTCTAGCTAATAGGCTCTTTCTGAAGCAGCGCCTATACTCCTTCAAAATACATGAAGACAAATCCGTCTCAAATCAGATCGACAAGTTCAACATGATCATCGACGACCTCGAGAACATCGACGTCAAGATGGACGATGAGGACAAGACACTGCTGTTGCTAAACTCTATTCCTAAGAGCTGCGAGCATTTCAAGTATGCGATGCTCTATGGAAGGGTGCAACCTATTACTCTGGAGGAGGTTCAATCTCTGATTAGAGCAAAAGAACTTCAGAGGAAGCATGACAAGGACAAGGAAGTCAGCGAAGACAGTCTTATTGTCAGAGGAAGATCGCCCAGGAAAGATTCAAGAAATGGTCAGTACAAATCAAGGTCAAGCAAGGATGGCGGGAATCAGTCATCAAGGGGATCTTTCAAGTGCTATCATTGTCACAAGGACGGTCATTTCAAGAGGAATTGCCCAGATAGGAAGAATAAGTACCAAGAAGAGCCAGAAGAATCAGGAGAAGCAAGCGTAGCTTCTGATGACTACGATTTTGCTGAGGCCCTGGTGATCACAGAATCTGAGTCCAGTAAAGAGCGGATCCTCGACTCAGGGTGTTCTTTCCACATGTGTCCTCACAAAGACTGGTTCGATACACTGCAATAGGAAAATGATGTGTCTGTTATACTGGGAGACAATAAAGCTCACAGGGTTGTTGGAAGTGGATCAATCAGGATAATGATGTTTGATGGAGTTGAACGAGTACTGAAAAATATCAGGTACGTACCGGAGCTCAAAAGAAATCTGATTTTTTAGGTACGCTGGAGTCAAGCGGATGCTCGTTCAAGGCAGAGAATGGCTGCATCAGAGTAACTAAAGATCCTCGTGTCGTCATACAATGAATCAGGAAAAATGAGTTGTACTCTCTTATCGGAAGAACCGTGATTGCTAAGTCCATGTACTGTTTGGACTTAGCAAACTCAAGCAAGGGCTGAGGGCCCCTCAGGGGCCAGGTGGAGGGAATATTTACTTCGAAGCTTCTCAATTGAGGGTCAATGTGAAGAATTGTTATTTTGACCCCTAATATTGAACTAAGGTAAAAGAACACTTTTGTAATGTGGTACCGCTCACCTACCACATCTCACCTACCGCTCACCTCACATACATTTTGTAATTTGGTTTCGCTCCCCTACCACATCTCACCTACCACTCTCTTGCTTCTATAAATAGAGAGGGTGTGAGGCTTAGGAGAGCAAGGGAAGAGATCTTAAGCTACCACAAAGGAGGAGAGAATAGCTAGAGAGTTAGAGGAGGAGAGCATATTGAGGCTTGTATCAAGGTGTCGCTTGAGAGGGAGGCCATAGAAGAAAGATGATGGCTCATCTCTATGCATAAGCTATGTATTCTCCATTTCTTTTGCCTTAGTGAACTATTTGATTGATTCCCTCCCGTGGACGTAGATCCAGTTGGATCGAACCACGTAAACGATCTGTGTTTGCTTGTGTTCTTTGTGTTTCATTTATATGTCAGGAAGTACATATCTCAGAACAAATACAAATATCTGATAATATTTGTGCTGTGATACAAATAGTGAGAGATCAACCTTGGTATGAATGACATTAATGTTCATAAAGAACTTGGAGAGTGCCTTTAACCATTGTCTGTTTTAGGCAATATAAAGTTTTCTTGAGAGAACAAATGCAGTTGGGTCGTACAGGATCTATATATTCCTTGGGTTGATGTATGTAAATAGTTCCATTAAGGTTACTATTTAATAAGGCATTTGGGACATATAATTGAAAAACATGCCACTTCTTAGTGAGAACAATGGTTAATAGAATGTTTAGCGTAGGCAATATAGCTACAAGACTATGTCTCATAATAATTAATGCTATACTTGTGTTTATCGTCCAAGCCCACCAATCTTGTCTTGTAGCCTTCCAATGTGTTATCTGAATGTAATTAGTTGATTTTTCGGTGGGGGGAACCAATACCCATCTGCTCTGTGTTAGGAGTGCAGCAAATTCCTCGTTCATTTCTTGTCTCCACTGGGCATTTTTCACATCCTGGTTATAGAAGGTTGGGTCAATAACGGGAAAGACCATATGAAACAAATTGAGGAGTTGGATAGATTGAGGTGCCCTGTCTAGGATCGAGTAAGCATATGGTGAGTTTTCTCTATGGGAGGTAGATTAATCTTCTTGGTTTCAAGTTTTGAATATTATGTTCCGGTAATGTTACAGATAGGAGCTGTTGATCTGAGGATTGTTGGAGTCCGTAGAGTCCACCCTTGAGGGTTGGAAAGCAACAAGGACTTGTAATGTTTGCTGGAAGTTTTCAGGAGGAGTAATAACTTTTCATACATAGCACCCAATTCTTATGCATTTACTTATCTCACGTCCAAACTTTGGTTTTGACGAGTTAAGCACCCTACCTATAGGAAAAAGTGTAATCCACCTTTTCATACAACTTTTCAAACATAAGAAAAGTCGCTTAACTTGTAAAAATAAATATTTTTGGGTGTGAGACAAGTAAATGCATAAGAATTAGGTGCTATGTATGTATGTATGTTTGTGTGTCTTCGTGAACAGCTCGTGTTCGGCTCATTAAATAGCTCGTGTTTGACTTGTTTGTTTTAGTAAACGAGCCGATACAAACAAATTTTTTAAGGTAGAATTATAAACTAACAGAGCACAAACAACCCTTTGTTCACGTGTTAACCCTTTGTTTTCTTGTGTTCGGCTCGCTTGTTAAGTAAACGAGTTAAACACGAATAACCTTTGTTCGCTCGTGTTCGACTTATTTTAGCTCAAAATAAAGAAATTATATATATATATATATATTATTTATATAATAACATTTTATATACATTTATATATAAGTTTTAATCAACATAATTTGTGTCCTCATATGATTATGTACTTTTTATGGCCCAAGAATGGTGCAGGTCATTTAAATCCAACGCCTTACATATTGATCGATACCAACAAATTTCATTATATAGCATGAATCTCAAGGCAATTTTAAACAAGAAACATTCAGTCTTCAATTAAAAGTCATCCAGAACTCCGATTTCAACAAATTTATGGTCAAACTAATCGGCTCGATGAGACAGACATAATGATATCAAAGTTAATCTAATCTGAGTCAAATCAAGCCCAAATCAAGTTATTAAACTACTCTTGGAAGATTTCCGGACACATTTAGAAGGTCTTGATGTCGAATCTAGCAAGTTTATAATCGAATCGAGCGTCTCGACAAGACGAATTTAACGAGCCCAGTATCACTCATTTCCGACATCATTAAGACATCCAAATGTCCATTAAACACTCTTTGATTGAAGGAAGTTCTTCGGACCGTCCAATCAAAATGATTCATATTCCTTCATTAATTTCACCCATAACACTATAAAATAGAGCCTCACCCCTCTCGAGGGGAGGTGAGCTTTGAGAGAGAATTTGAAGCTTTGAGAAAGCGCTGAAGTCCAGCACCATCCCGACTGCCGTCGACAACCACTGATCACCGTCCAACAACACCAATTTTCGTCAACCACTACCAACCAGACGTTGTCAGTCGACATTACAACTTGAAGAATTTAGTAACCATTTCTCGTCCGTGGGACAAAGAATTTCTGTAATCATCAATTAATAGTTGATTTTTACAAATAGGTTAGGCCCCGTGGTTTTTTTCCTTTACTGGTTTTTCAAGTAAAAACTTCTGGTGTGAATTATTTTTTTTTCATCCGAGTGTGTGTTGAATTCTCGTGCAACATTAAGACGATAATTCATTACTCTACTGTCGTTAATTTTCTAGCACATATCACATATATTTTTCTAAGTAATTTAAACGAACCAATTTTAAATCAAAACGAGAACAAAATTAAGTAAATCATGCCAAACACGAAGACACAATTCATGAATGATTTCAAACATGAGCTAATGTCAACCATAATTAATTTTGAACTAGCCGCACAAACAAAAGTGCTACCCTCTCTTACAACCCATGTGCAAGATGAAAAAATATTACATCAGTACTACGCACGTAGAAATAACGTACGTAGCCAATGAAATCACGCCACCACACCCCACACGATAGAGAAAAAAACGGCGCAGTAAAACGGGGAATATTCCCCCATGTGTTATTCATGTGTTATTGCGTTCATGTGTTATTGCGTCG